ACTAACAACCTTACAGCTGTCGCTGGGTCATTTACTCCGTACTATCCCTCGATATGCAATCACACGCGCCCATTACCCCGTACAACCAAGCAAGGGCAACCGAAACCATGCATCTGACAAGCACTCCATCTACAGAGCATTCTCCGCGTGTACCTCTTCTCTCTAGTCTCTGACATGTCAGACATAGTTTAACTGGCCACCTAGTAAGGCACCGGGCCTCTGACTCACTCTTGTAGAGAACTCCGCCCTAGCGAAGGACATGGATTCTGATCCCTGCAGTCCGCATCCTAACGTGGAGTAGCGTGCTGCATGGGCAAGTGGAGGAACTCCGTACATGTACTTACTCCAAGAGGTAAAGATGGTGCCTCGACAAGTTTTATCTGAGGCAATGACAGCCTTTCTATATTTACGTGCCTATCTGCTTAAAAGGCGCATACATCTTCTGCTAAAGAAAAGCCCCGCATATATATTAAACTCATTTCCTAGAGGTCTAGAAATACATTATTAACCTTTTAAATACTTGAAATACTTCAATACAACAGACACCGAAGACCGTGCGTATGGTGTACTAATTAATCCCACAAAACAAACTCCCTCGGACCTCGTGCCTTGCCATGCTCCATTTTCGATGCAGTTCCTCCGATTCTTTCAAGGTACCACGACCTCAATGTACATATAGTACCTGCTTACCTTGCACCACTGATGTGAGAGTTCTACATATGTAGTCAATATAGACAATAAATAAACCAATAAGTTGGACTAACAGAACCAAAAAGAAAAAGAAAAAGGAACCCCCGGACAACAGGACCAACGATGCCCGACCGGCTACATTCGGCAGCCTTTTCCCTGAAATAAAACATCTCCATATTTCCGAGCCTGCACTGCGGATTCAAATACCAGAGAAACCCCCAAACTGTAATTTCCCCCTAAAACCCCGTAAACTAAGGGGAAGATCGGGCAAAACACCCCTCCTTTTATCTGAGGGGGAGGCGAATAAGAGGACACAAGTACATATGTTGTACAAGATTGATGGCTAATGACATTGAGCAATTTGTCATCGTGGTCTACGACCTCGGGGTTTCTTCCGAAGTTGGTTTCTCACTACTTCTGTTTTGGGTCGTTCTTACATATGCCCATATTCTTTATAGCTGAAGTATAGGTGGCGGGCGTGCCGATCTGATTGGTATTCTATGCCCAGGTGAGCGTTCACGCCTTTACGTCAGGCGCCCGGGTCATGTCTGGATCAAAAAATAGGGAAAAATAGGATTCACAAGTTGGAGGGTTCACTACACTGCCTCTATGATGGGCTGTGACAAGCCCGCCAATGAAAAGAGTATCGAGAGGCAACCAATTAGACAGGCGCATGCAAAGGCCTTTTAGCAGACGTAGAGGAACATCATAATATTTGAAGATTCTAATTACGTTGGTAAAATAAAACTACAAGTCTTCTATTACCATGTGAAGTGACTTGAAGGATTGTACATGTCTTTGGGACTTTGAAAGCTCAAGTTCGAGCTTCTACGTGAAAGCAAACATAGAAGCTCTACTGGATGCATTATTTATACGACCATAAGCCCGATCCTCGAGAAAGTGCCAAGATCCAAATACAGTACTAAAATGAGAAAGAAGTATGTATTCAAATGGAAAGCGCGACAGCGGAGATAGCACCAAGAACAGACAGGACGCTGGAACCAGTGAAGGACGAAGCACCGTTGAACACAGGTGATGCACTTGCTGAGCCACTGCTTTCGGTAGTAGAACCCGAACCTGTGCCTGCGTCTGCGCCTGCACCTGCGGCAGTAGGAGAGGAGGCTGCGATGGGGGCAACCTTGACCGTGGCTGAGTGGATGCCGGTGAAGGCTGAAGGTGTAGCTGAGCTTATGCGTGTGCGAATGATGCCGAGCAGGTTGGAGAGGTGGTCGGCATTATTACCAGCGGAGAGGCTGGAGCCAGAGCTGCTCGAACCTTCACCTTCACCTTCACCCGCCGATACTCCGGAACCAGGTCCATTTTGACGGACATGAGATGCACTAGTCTCACCGAAAACACCTCCCTCAGTAGTAGTGTCGCTCGTGATGGTGATAAAAGAGTAAACAGTTGAGGTCCCTATTTCAGTGCCAACAACAACAGTCGTCGTCTGCACAGTAACAGACCATGTGCGCACCGCGCCAGGTGCAGTGGTGGTCACGGCGGTGTTGATTGGGACTGAAGTGGTACCGGCAACGACGGTCTCTGTCGTGACGTGTGTCGTCTGGTCACGGGCTGGGCAGTGAGTCACTGCTCCCGGACACTGGGTTAGGGTTACGGTTCTAGTCGAGAGGACTGTGAGTTTGTGGAGTCTTTGCCGTTGCCAAATGGGTCTTTCAATAGCGTAGTCTATTCTTGTAAATGTGCGCTATGGCCTATCTCTAACCGGGAAACCCAAGACATGCCATAAATTCCGAAAACAATGCATTGCACAAGACGAAAAGACAGGGAATGCGACACCTCAGAGTTTAGGTTGTCAACAACCAAACAGACCTCGATGTGAGCCTGGGTGTCCCTATATGCATGTATGTTATCCAGCCCCAAAAACGCCCTGAAAACACAACAGGTCGGATAGAGAGTTGAATGAAGGGAAACGCTTCATCTGCCTGATGAGACACAATGCACCCGAGTGATAAAAGACAAAAGAAATGCTAAGGGAGGAAAATAAAGCTCTGAAGTCATCACATCATATATATCATACCTACCCTACGCAAGAGACGTGGGCAAGAAACAAAAGAAGAATAAGAGAGGCGCATATAAACAGCCACGATCAAACAGTGCCGTATCGGCCGCGCTCTGCGCCCAACAGAGCCTGTCCCTCCTGCGGCATCAAAGAGTCTCCTGACTCCCTCCGAGGCGAAGAAGAGGGGATCCAGCCGCGCATCCAGCCGTGAACACGCCTCCAGCGACCGCGACCGCGCTTTGCGTCATCCCCATCGCAGGTAATGAAACTTTCATCATCCTCGTGCTCTGGACCATCACCGTACATGAGAAACTGAACGCCCATGAACCCGTCCAGGCCCAATACACCGAAAGCACCCAGGAAGAACGGGGTAGCGCGTCCTATCCATTCCAATCGGTCATTACCGTGGTTATCGGCCCAGCCGCCGCCGCCGTATGGGGAGAAATCGGACCAAGCGTTCGGGTTGGTAAGCAAGGAGCTAGAGTAGAACAGGTTCCCACAGAATGCAGCCATGAAGAGAAGTGGGGAGAGACCCTCGGTGCTCTTCCGCTGGTAGTTCTTGTATAACTGTGGAGGGCGAGAGCCGAGATACAAAATTGTTGACATCCAGGAGAAGACACGGCCGATGATGTCGACAATGGCCTCCTGCGGTGCGTCAGTAATGGGCGGATGCGGCTTATCGGTGGGTGCAGCATTCGCGAGTACGGCACAGACGAGTGATGCCATGAGCATCGTCCGGGGTAGTGCGAATGGCGGGCTCTGCGCGCTGCCGCCTACCCTCACTGATCGACGCGAGGTGCTCAATTTCTCGTTTGAGTATGAGGCTGTTTCCCCACGGGTCGAGTTGGGTACTGACCCAGCCTGGAAGCTAACATCCTTGGCCTCGGAGTGCTTGTTGTCCATTTTGACGGGAGCTGGGGTCTGACGGTTTGAGTCGTGGCCTGGAGGCACGCCTTGAATGATGTCTTGACCAGCCGAGTCATGCGAGTGTGACAGGTTGTTATACGAATCGGTTTGGCGAGGTTTGTAATGAGTGTACCAGAAGAACTGGAAGACCAGAGTGATGTCAACCAAGACATAATAACTGGCAATCACGACCTGCCACCCTGCCTGCCGGGTGCATATCGCTCCAACGAGGTTGCTCGCATCACCAAGACACCAGATCACCAAGAAAAATATCGATAAGCCTGACGTCGATTGCACTTGGAAGTTCTTATAGATCTGGGGTAGTTGTGCGAAGAGCCATGAGACTATGCTGAGGGTCCCAAGAACGGAAGAGATCGCCGCGAGAGGAGTGGGGATGCAGATGTGGAGATGCGAGGAGACGGCGGTCAGGAAGGGCGAGGTCGGTTCACAGTGATCAGGAAGGGTTCCAGAAAGGAGGTTCTGTAATAACGGAGGAGACATGGCCTATCGATGGGGTGTCGTTGATAGATATAATGGCTTGGTACAGCCTCAAGTAGTGACTCGTGTAGGATCGTGGGCATCAAAGTATGGGTGAGGGCGATAAGCGAATTCGTTGTGAAAAAGAGAAGAGAGGATGTATACTCTAAGTCTAATAGAGCTAATAGAGCGAGCGGACTCGGAAAGAGAGAGTAATAAGTAAGTGAACAAAAGCCACGACTGGAGAGAACAGCCCAAGGGGTCATTCTGGAGTGTCACGAGAGCTGAATCGCCTTATCGCATCGGGGCAGATCGGATGACTCATGCGATAAGGTTATCTCCAGGGCTAATGGGCGTATCAGGGCTTCTCCGAGTTTGGAAATGCAGGGTGCTGTATTTAGGTAATACAGAATTATGCTGTACGATGTCGGCCATGGCTCATAAGGATTAAATTAAATGTTTTACAACTCCTGGTGAACAGGTCGCACTCGGGACCCTCGCCATATTCGGACAGACATAGGGATCGCTCTTCCTAAATTTTGCTAACCTTGATTTCTATTGGTCTCCGCACGTATGCGCCTGCCGTGAATGCGGAGGCAGTGATTTCGGCAGGACATCGTTCAGAAGTGTCGTCAGCAAGCAGGCCTTGCGGGGAGTTTGGGCGCTTGCACTTCAGCAGTCGATCAAACTTTCTACTTGGCAGTGGGTGCTTTCGGTACGTTTGCTTTTGCCTTTGGGATAGGGTGGCAAAGATCAGAACAAAAAAGGATGCTCAGGTTGAGGTTGAGACTGACGGCGGCTCTCGCGCTTGATGTGTGGCTGGATCATCTTTCATTATATTAATATTTTCGGACATACCCATGGGTTATTATGCAAGTAATCCAGCCCTCCGATAAGTTCCACTGAATCAGCGCCTAGTCCGTTCCACTGCCGCAGCACTCATCTTGGGGCCATAGCCGGGACCGGGCGGAATCCGAGTTCCGCCAGATGGTGATGCGCTCCGAGAGGGGGCTGCAGATGTCGGGGCAGACCGATTGTGCGCCATGTGCGCTTGCACGAGATGACCGGCTGCCAGAGCTGCACAAAGAGACAGCTCTCCCGCCAGAACGGCACCTCCGATGATGCGCGCAAGTTGACGTGCATTCTCGCCGGGCGTAGTCGGATGGGATCCGCGAACACCAAGCATGTCGAGCATTGCTCCCTGGGGTTCCAGAATAGTACCACCACCCAATGTACCAACTTCGATGGACGGCATAGTGACGGAAATATGGAGTGAGCCACGGTAACTAAAGAGTCAAGGTTAGTGAATGTGTTTTAATCTGAGTCAGTGGCAGTTTACAACTTACTTTTCCATAAGAGTCATGCAGTTGGCACTCTCCACCACCTGCGCAGGATCCTGTCCTGTAGCAATGAAAACGGCCGCTGCGAGGTTCGCCGCTTGAGCGTTATATCCACCAATTGAGCCGGCCATGGCGGAACCAATTAGATTTTTCGACACATTCAGCTGAATCATGCTGTCAACGTCGCTCTTCAAAACATCCCTGACAACGTTCGCTGGCACAATGGCCTCGGCCACAATTCCCTTGCCCCGCCCATCGATCCAATTCAAAGCGGAGGGTTTCTTATCTGTGCAATAATTTCCCGACAGGGTGACGATCTTCATATCATCAAATCCTGCCTCAGTCGACATGACATGCAGAGCATGCTCAACACCTTTGGAAATCATATTCATTCCCATCGCATCGCCGGTCGTTGCTTTAAATCGAATATACACGTTCGTACCAGAGATCGTGGTCCTCAAGCTCTGCAGTCGTGCGAATCGGCTTGTCGAGTTAAAGGCATCTTTCATCACAGTCTGACCAGCATCAGAATCAAGCCAGGCTTTTGCGGCACCAGCTCGTGGAAGGAGCGAAAATCTCACACACGGGCCACGAGTCATACCATCACCGGTGACGATTGTCACAGCACCACCGCCGAGATTAATGGCCTTGCTGCCACGGCTTGCACTAGCTACCAGGACTCCTTCAGTTGTTGCCATAGGAATGAAATAACTCTTGCCGTCGATGACGAGAGGGCCGGCGACTCCAACAGGCACTGGCATAAAGCCAATGACATTCTCGCAACAAGCTCCCAGAACACGCTCCCAAGCGTAGTGTTCGTATGGTAGCTCTGAAGCTTCTAGCATGTGGGTAATATTTGCGGTAGCAGGTGTGCGCGAAATGATAGAGCGACGAACCTTAACGGCTCGCGTGCAGTCTTTAAGGCTTTTCTCTAGCGCGTATCCAGGAATCTTGCCCTGTAAAGATAAAGAAACGATATCCTCGTCGTTCAATTCGCTGATAGGTATTTTCTTAAGCAGATCGTCTAGTTCCGCGGGCGTGCGAGATAGAGAAGATTGCTCGGTTGGTGTTGATTTTTGCACTAGCAGAGTCACTTTTGCAGATTTTTGCGTGGGTTCCGAAGGGGCCTCACTGTCATTATCACTACTGACAAGGGTAGACTGCTCTATCTCGGGGACCCGGGGTCTCAACTGGAGCTGAGGAGTCAGAGTCTGCGCAGCATTGAACCTTTCAGCCTGGGCAAGTTCAACTAGGTTGACAGGGTGATCCGGGAGATTGGGGTCTTTGATCCCTAGTCTGGCAGCCTTAAAGAGATAACTATTCAGAGCGACGCTCAAAGCAAGTGCCACAAACATCCATTTTGAGAGCACAGGATCTTCAAGGCTGGTCAGGAGACCACCGACCATTCTTTCGCCGACTCCATACTCGGGAAACTGAGACGGGACGTCCGACGGTCCGCGCTGAATAGGCTTGGGGTTGCCGGGGTACGTGGAGCGGCGAGGAAGGAAGGAATGTTGCAGCTCGTAGTTGATATGAGCGAGCACGGTGACTACAGTTGCTTGGTCACGCCCTCTTGCCTGAAAAAGCAGTTCGTCCAGTCCATCTCCGGCTACCTTAAACGGCTCGAGCGGACGGTTCATGGCCATCCCGCTGAGGCGTCTGTTCCAACCCGACATGCCGTATAAGGAACCACCAGAAGATGGTTGGAACGTGATAGAGCAAAGGTTCACAATATTGACCACAAAGAAGCCCACGACCATCCAGAACTTGAATTTTCGAACGTTACTGCCCTTGAAATCCTTGCTGAACAGGTATGCACTCGTTTTGTCTGGGGCATCGTTGCTTTTAGCAACACTTTCCGCTATCCGTCTACTCAGCCCCTCATCTTGTAACACGCTCCGTATGTCAACATGACGCTTAATGCGATTGACTTCAAGCTTGATCGAGAGAATAGCGGTGTAGAAGGTAAAAAGCAGCAGACAGTCAAAGAAAAGAATCAATGCTGCAAGGAAGCTGAAGGCCCCCTCTTACGCCTAAGGCAGCACCGATAAGGAGAAGCGAAATTTCAGCAACGTAGTGACCCACGATTGCATAACCCTTATCCCTAATGGCGCCTTGGACGGCATGCTGGATAGAACTTTCAGCAAGGCCGGCGCCGCTACCCTCCTGAATTTGACGCTTTTGAGGTTTCCGATGCTCTATGGCATGAGACAAAACGGATCTGGTGAGAGTAATGCTCTTTTCAAAGCTAATAATCACAACCAAGAAGGGGAGTCCTTCGGATAGTAGCTTCATGCTTATCGGAACACCAAGTCTGATGGCCACATCAAGTCCCAGCAAGAAAGCAAACGTTGAACTCAAAAGCACACTCGTGGCAAGCCAAACTTTCGATCCCAACTTCTTCATGCTCAGAAAGAGTGAAACGAAAGTCAAGTGCATCGATATGTAGGTGATGGCCATGACAATGATATCGAGCGTTTGAGCGCGTTTGAGAAGACCAAGGAATTCCATCCAGCTATCATGGACCCACTGCGAAAGACTGCCTTTCGTGTCGGGTCGGGCAGCCTTCATGATCCACGTTTTGTGCTTCATCTCGGCACGCACGTCCTCGAGAGATTCGCCATTAGGTCCATTGTGAGGAATCTGTTGCAAAGCAGCCACCAATTCAGGCGCCTTTTTGTGTGGAACCGCGAAGGCGAAGGTGCTATCCTGGGAATACGCAGTGAAAGGGTTTGATGTTGAGGGAAGGGGAAGCACAGGCAGTTCCACGCCAAGGGGATTGAAGGACGATGTGACGATTTGGGGTGCCTCCGCATACCCTGGAAAGCTCAAAGTTATAAGCGCTTGATGGTCAAAATCCTCGGGAATGTCATTGGAGTTTAATGTATCCCACTTCCAACCAGTTTCTGGACTAGCAATCATGCTTCGGCTTCCCGTAACCAAAGAACCCCACTCGGCTTTTCCAACATTCCCTGACGCATGAAAAAGGCTATCCTTGAGAACTCCAATGTAGTCGTGCTGGCCAAGATGGCTATAGTGCAAATGGTATGGATCGGATGTAGACAGGTAGTTCTGGATAAAAACTGGAGACTTGAAATCACCGCTCGGCTTCCCAGACGGAAAGATTGTTGTTGATCCATTGATTCGACTCTATCAATGACAAGGTAATGATGTGGAAGCTTCTATGCTACAACCCGTAGGTTTGAGCCGTGGCTTACGTCCTGGAGCCCAGGAGGAATTTGTCAGCTTGGAGAACGACTGCACCAAAGCCGGTATTCCCCTTGGCTCGGAAAAGACCTTGAGTAGGAATAGATCCAAATGTCTTACCTGAGAAACTGTACAAAAAGCGCGGGCAGACAGTTCTGGCCTGCGATCGGAAATTCTGGGACCTTGAGACTCTTCCAGGACAAAAGGGTCAAATAGGGGAAGAACTGATAGGAAAGCCGAGCAAAACGCGTTCAATTAATAAATCCTCGGATGCCTGCGACCTGCACACAGCCCACCATTGGGATTAGGGTAAATAAACTGCTGCCTACAGGGAAATGAAGGCACTCGACTACAGTACATTTAGGCTACCTATGTTGTAGGGCACTAGAACTACTACTAGTACTCCGTACATTCCTTGGGAATATGCAGAGGACGCGACGAATGGTCATCGACAACATTCCCGATCTGGGCGCTCATTGGAAAAGAGAAACAGCGCGCATCAGATAGATCAGTTTGGAGAGCCCCCAGGTGTCCCATTTTCGGCCCCCATGGCCTACAGACAACAAAGAAGGACCGGACGACGCCGATTGGAGAAAATACCTAAAGTCTACTCCCTAGTGTACGAATATATAATATGAGTCTAGCTTAATTGATATAATTCTGGTATTTATTCTCAATCTCTAACGTAGAATAAGGATAGCATCTAGGAAAGACACTATATATAGACAATTAGGTATTGTACAGGCAGTAAACTTACTGAATAAGCACTAGCCGTCAAGATCGAATAGAGCATTCACTCGGGACTCCTACTTTTTTTTATCATATACGGCGTTCTTCAAGGTATGACGTGCCTACCTTGACCCATTAATAAACTACCTCCCGCTTAATTAGTCAATACAGCAATGTCTGCCAGTATTAATTTTGGCCCGAATACAACGCTTCCGCGCTCTCACGACCAGTTCCATCACTTCTTCCCACAATGGAATGCTGGACTACAGGCCACCCTGGCTACTTATTGCACGACCGCCATCGACGCCTACAACAATCCCAACCTTAACAATAACAATGCAACCTACGCAGTCATGCAATGCCTGCTTGACCAAATGCCAAACTTCCGCCAATATGAAATGAACGTCTCAAGTGTTATCCTTGGTCTGACACCCACGCTTATTTAGTCATTAGGGATGACCACGGTCCATACTAGTATTCTATCTCAGCGCCGCCCAGTACTCGCCTTCTTGCTAAGCGTCGGCTCCCCTGTCGTCAGTACTCTCCAGGCAACAGACTATTCAGACAAGATTGCCCACGAACTACGGGAACCAGCAGGGTGGTACCCTCAGAAGCTCCTTCACAATAATAGAACGTGGGCAAGAAGTATGTTGTCATTAGCCGAGTGTCTTGTTGTCCTTGCCGCCGCCCCCAACGTATCTAGGCTGGCATACCAGCTTGGTTACTGGAGTGTCAGTATATGTCAGTATATTTGCTATCTAGGTCACTTGGCTTCCTGCGCTGTGGACCTTTCTCGCCTCCAGTATACACATAATTGAAGTATTTGCCCTTCGCTTCCGGTTCAAGCTCCAATACCCAGAGGATCACCCCTCTCGTCAGCATCAGGAAAGACGACAGTGGGGGGTAGTCAAGTGGCTACATACACACACAATTCATTAGCGCCCGGCGGCTAAACCGAAAGGGCAACTATCACAAATCTACCAATACATGTCCTACTGTATGCCGTGTCTCCTTAGAGCCCATACATGCTTACTTTCAGTATATGCCATCTCAGCTATCAATATCAAGGCGGGTCCTCGTAGGTTAGTAATTTTGTTAGTAGGCTGGCTTGAAGGCGCTTCTTCAAGTGTTCAACATCCTATTCTCGGCAATTGAAGCGCGTCTACCGTCTCTGGCACGAGGTGATTGGTGTAAGTTATCGAGAGGGGTGAGTGATTCGTGTTCGTCGGCATGGCTAAGTGGCGTCGAGTCGGCCCATGGCGATTACATACCGTATTGAGGCCTTTACTGCTTCTAGATTCGGCGGCCAATTCTGATCATCTGAAGGCGATTTTCCACCCAGGAAGAAGGATATGTTGCCTCGGTGGGTGTGGGTACATTGCAGCATTTCCGTCCGGTATATGGTCCACTTCCGACATCGAAAGAGGAAGTGCTCCACGGTCTCTATTGCTTGTCCACATGCACACTGATCCGTCTATACTACGTTGACTCGATAGAGATATCCATTTAGTCTTGCCATACCAGTCCGGAGTTAGGCCAGCACGCTCGCTTCTTTCCACGATAATCGATCATACAGTTGCCGGGCGTGTTTCCCTAGGAGTACTACATCCACTCGTTTCGCGTATCTTCCTACGTTATCTAGTAAGCCTTGGATAGTGGCTGCTTAGGACCGTGCGATATTTAGTGTGTTGACTTCATTCATTCTAGGGACCTATACTTGAGGGGTAGTATCCTCTTATATCGCGGCCCTGACCTGCTCTTTCGCCAGGCTCAATAGTTGATTATCTTCGCTGGTCCGGGACCTAACGGATGTTGATTTCGTTTCCGTGTCTCCGTAGTCTCCTAATTAGCTTGTATATTTGGCAGATATGTTCCTGGCCTGACTGTTATCGGGGGTTCCTTAGCGTGAGTGCCGCCGCTTTTTTGCTCGTGAACAGCGTGACTCTATACTGTTTTAGTCCCGGTAGCGTGCTTAGTGCATATGCCATTGCTGCCAGCTCCCTAGAGTACGGATTCTGCTCCGCTCCTACGCCTAGTATCACGGAGAAGGTCTTCAGCTTCAGTTTTCGATACCGAGGCGGCTGCTTCTGGATCGCTCCACCAAACCCTACCACTTCGTTCCGTGCTAAACTGCTAACCGCGATCTCCACGTATCCGCCTACGTCGGTCCGTGTCACTAAGATTTCATAAATATCGGCCTACACGCGTTCCTCCTATAGGGCTAATGTAAATAGGTTAATTGTCTCTAGTGTTTCTATCTCGATATTCTTTAGCGCGTCTGCTTTATAATACAACGGCGAACGATAGTATCTTCTAAATTTCTTGATCCGCGCTATATTCCTACGGAGAGGATTGGTTTCTAGTAGGGTGTGGATGTCCGTCCACATCTTCACGGCTCGTCTCCAGAACCGGTGTTATATAGTGGCAATGTGAGCCTCCGCCTCCGCTACGCTAGTCGCAACTGTAAGAAATGTCCCTACAATCGCTTGCGCTCCTACCCTTTAGACTCGGTTGATCGGCCCGATAGCCTTGTCTTTCAACGCGTGCATCCACACATTAGAGGCGTAGTCCACCACCGGGGCCACCGTCGATGTGAATAGCTGCCGCGCTATTGCTGGGATAGATCTTGAAGTCGTCGAAGCTCCATCGCTGCCTCTAGGCCCTTGGACGCTGCCCTCGCGATATGTTCCTTGTATTTGAGCCTCGTGTCCATCAGAACACCTAGGATCTTGACATGGTCTTTGGGTTAAACGGTCTGTCCCTTGATGGTAAAAGGCGCTTGGTCCGATTTGGTAGGCCTTGGGAGCGAAGTGTATAATGGCTGTTTTCTCTGCTTCAAAAATCGCACCACTCCTCCCTTCCCAGTCGAGCGCTTCTTTGATAATTGCTTCAATATCTTCCCGGTTACTCTGCGCAGAGGCCCCGTCACTCATGCGGTGAAGTCATCCACAAAAGCAATCGCTCATCCTCATATGAGTACAGGCGCGCTCGAAATCAGTTTCCTCGGATTTCTGTGAGGATACAGTTCCGCCACCAACCAATACAGTAGGAGTCGAAAACCCGAAGCCCGTATCTGGGGTAAATATAGTCGAGCTGGGCCTTGGTATTACCGATTGCTTAGCTGTCGATAGTGGGTTTCTTGAGATTAGAGAGCGGTAATTTAGGCGCAAAGGTTGTTGAGGTATAAACTAAGCCTGGAGAGTGGCTTAGGTCTGGAGCAGATTAGCTTATATGTATTATTTATAACGAAAGCCTTAATCTACCTAGTTGCGGAACTCAGATCGAGGCTACCTTATGTAAGGTAAGTCAGGGGTACTGGTGGGGGAGGAAGAGAAAGCTCATGGATGGATGGAGAGGATGAAGCTCTTATACCGAAAGATTTGCTGGCATAAAATCAGCCAGCTGGCAAACGGCCTATCAAAGGGCCTACCAGCTATCTGCATAAGCCTCAGGCCTCAGCAAGGGGTAAAAGTTATCTGGATCACGTGATATGACACATAGTATCCATAGGATGCCACCAAATGTGTGTAAACTGGAATGTCGATCAATCTTAAGCTTCTTGAAGTCTTGAAGTACTTAAAAACAAGATCTAGCGTAGCACATAAGATAAGGGTTGCTTATTAAACTGTTCCAGCGGCTCGAGAGGATTTCAAGTAGCAATACAAGCAGCAATTCAAGTGCTAATTTAAGTTTTGACTGAGTTGACTGTTACTGTCCTTTTCATGGCATTTTTAAGGACAATCGACTCAGGGAGGTGGATCGATAAACTCAAGATTCCCCGACCCTCGGGGAGGCTCAGGCCATTTGTTATCAGTCGCGACCCGCGGGTCCCCGGAGGCTCTGCGCCTTGGCAATCCCTCGGTCTATCACAGATATAGATCTGGTGTTCATGACTTTGTAAAAAAATGTGCGTAGGCATCATCGTCTTGCATCATCGAAAGTCTTTGACAATCCCTCCAAAACCCCCACAAAAAATTATTCATCCAAGTACCTGAGCGAACATTGTAGGTCGTGGCTGAGCCCATTAGGTTGACCCCCAAATTTTACCCGGCGTCGTTCGCATTCCAAGACGCCGCCTCATTTAGAGACAAAGAAAAAAGTTCCGTGTAAGACCAGCACATACGTATCAAGACTTCAAATCTTCGGTACTTAACTGGCCGGTTTTCAAATTACATGCCACCGTTGCAAGTAGTGGAACTGGGGGCCAAATACCAAATGGAATACATACATCGTGCTGAGACTAGTGTAAAATATCCCGCAGTCGCATTGTGGTGGGTTACTTTTTGGCTGTTCCAATTGGGTGTTTAAGCTGGTGGTCCAATTGCTCGGAGTATCTTGTTTCAGGCATTCTTACTGCCAAGATAGATTACCTGTTGTTGTGTTCTTTTTCTTTTTCGTTTCTGGACAACCCTGCATACGTGGTCACATGACGGGCCCCCTGAGCTCGCCCTATTGAAAACAATCGAATTTCTCCGATCATTTTGTGATTTCCTTTTCATCCGATTGCTAGCAATGGCCGTGTCACAGAGAGCTACCGCTACTGCGGCTCCATCTGCTAAGGGTGTCAAGGAGAACAAATCCAAGCCTGCCCCCAAATTCAGAGATGGCGCGTCCGATGAGTTCGAGTTTGGTGGCTCAATTGGCGTATTGCTGCTGATGACTGGTTTCCCCATCATCATGTGGTACATGTGGATTGGCGCAACTTACTACGATGGCAAGCTTCCTCTGCCTGAGGTCGACCAGTCTTGGACTGATTTTGGCCGTCACCTCTGTCAATTGGTCTATGAGGGTGCCTATCCCACCGCCAAGGCATGGGTAATCTACTGGGTCTTTTTCATTATGGAGTCTCTGATGTACTGCTACATGCCTGGCGTTTCCAATTATGGCCGTCCCCTGCTTCATGAAAACGGGAAGAGGCTTCCCTACTACTGCTCTGCCTACTGCAGTTTCTATGCGACACTTGCAATTGTTGCTACCTTGCATTTCACCGGCGTGTTTCCTCTGTACACGTTGATTGACGAATTCGGACCTATCATGACTGTCTCTATCCTATCTGGCTTCCTGAACAGCTTCATCGTGTACTTCCAGGCTATCGTGCGCGGGCGGACCCACAGAATGTCGGGCTCTCCCATCTATGATTTCTTTATGGGCGCCGAGTTGAACCCACGCATCGGTATCTTGGACTTCAAGATGTTTTACGAAGTCAGAATACCCTGGTTTATTCTGTTCCTTATCACCTTGTCCGTGGCAGCTCGTCAGTACGAAACCTATGGCTACGTTTCTGCTGAGGTTGTTTTCCTTGCTGGAGCCCATTACCTGTACACCAATGCTTGTGCAAAGGCAGAGCAAATGATCATCACAAGTTGGTAAGTCAACATAGGATGAAATACTTCAAAAGAATTGGTCAATCTAATGTTGAAACAGGGATATGTATTATGAGAAACTCGGATTCTTGCTCACTTTTTGGAATATGGCCGGTGTGCCATTCTCCTATTGCCATTGTGCGCTTTACTTGGCCAACCACGATCCATCTGAGTATCACTGGAACAGATTCGCCCTGGCAGTGTTCGCCGTCCTGTACATCTTCTTTTACTGGATGTGGGATAGTGCCAATGGCCAGAAGAACGCGTTTCGTCATGAGGAGAAGGGTCAGCTTGTCAAACGTAACACTTTCCCCCAGGTGCCTTGGCAGGCTATCGAGAACCCCAAGACAATTCAAACCGATGCAGGCGATCACATCATGGTCGATGGCTGGTTTGCGATTATCCGGAAGCCCAATTATGTACCTGACATGTTCTTCTCTATGTCCTGGGGTCTCATTACTGGATTCAAGTAAGCAATTCTTTTCGCGAAAGCTATGAATCGCAATAACTAACACACAACTTACAGGAGCCCATTCCCTTGGTTCTATTTCGTTTTCTTCATGGCCATGATCATCCACCGTACCAACCGGGATATCAACCGATGCCGTCGCAAGTACGGCGAGGCCTGGAAGCGCTATGAGAAGGAGGTTCCCTACCTGTTCATCCCAGTAAGTTTCCAAATGATGACAAGATAAGATTTATTGCTGACAGGCTTGCAGTATGTCATCTAGATGGCACGTTAACCATGCGGAAATGGCCAATGTGGCTAATTCTTTGCTTAATTGAAGAATGGAGCATCGTTTAGAAATCTGAAAACACGAGACAAGATGGCCCATCTTTCCAGGCCTTTGTAAGCATGGTAAGCGTTATCCCTCAAAATGTCTCGTCCAGGAGTGAACTCCCAAATCTTAGGCAGAGTATTCTATAGTTATGCCAACGCTCTAAGCTTACTTATTTTTTTTCTGTTCCGAAGTGTGCATACTTTCCCCTATATGCTGAAATCTCTCATAGGCGAACCCCGAATGACAAAAATGTGAAGAACATCAGTTCCCTGCGCCTGTGAAGAGTATAACCAAGAATTTATCAAAACTCCCGTTTCCCATAGCTTTCTGTACAGAGCCAGATGCAATTAATTTATGAAATTTAATCATTCCACAGATGGCCTCTCACTTCCGAACTAGATAATTCTAGAACAAAAGCTTTAGTGGTCACCAATAGAAGCATGGATCCTAGGCTTTCCAAGATTGAGAAGCCGGGGGTCTATGGAATTTGAGCTTGACGTGTTTGTATTCGGAAATTCCTTCACTGAGCGAGTGAGGTATCTTCGACGGCGTTCAAGTTTGCTCCCTTCGTCCCTGGCTTCATGATATCGACTCAACCTTTGGCTTCTTCGGATGTTTGATGAGCATTCAGAAGGCTGATGAGAGCTGCCCAGATTATTTTCTTTGCTGGAGGGGCTCTGGTTCTTTTCGGAGCGTATTTGAGAATGACGCTGTCTGACTGCCCCCGGACTCCGCCCAGGAAAGTAGCGGAAAATAAGCCTCCATTGCAGCCTTTGAGAATCTCTCAGTTCTGATAACAGACAATCTTCTTCGTGTTTCCACTTTTTATGTGCACGCAGGTAACCCTCTCTTTTTAGTGGAGACTCCTTTATCAGGCTCATCAGTTACTATATTGCTTGTTGCAACGATACCATATGCATGTTGTAATACTTTGATTGCAAGCTGAATCACCTCGAGATTTTCCTTGCAAAGACCTGCATCGACCAAGTCATCGGAAAATTGGTCTTCAGCGCTGGCCAGACTGTAGAAGCGCTTGAGATATCGTATCGAGTCCCTAATGCTGGTGTGTTTATATGGGTGACCTTCCTCGTCTTGGAATGGGGTTTCACTGCCTGTTCTTCTTGTCCACGACAATTTCGTATCTGCGGTGGTAGAATTTCGAATCTGGTGTCGTTTCCGAGGAGAATACGACTCCTCCAGAGCTCGTTTTCTCCCTCTTGCAATAGGCTGCGTATGCTCCTGCTCATTTCCTTGTTCGATCGTGCCAATAGATTGGTGTACTTTATCAGAGAACCTTCGAACAGGAAACTCGAGGATGAATATCCTAGAGGAAAGATGCATTCCAAAAATTCGTGAAATGAGGGATAAACGTGGCTATTTATAATTATGATTATACGGATGCCATCCATCGTGCTTATCGAGGTCGCAAACCCGAGGACGGGATATGATGGAAGAATCGGCTTCTACTCTAGCTACAATGGCCAAAAACAAAATCGGAAACACACCGGATTGATTCCCGACTCTGCTCCACCCAGATTTGCTATAGCCAATTGAAAGACCTCCCATGTCCAGAATATACCAGCGAAAGGAGTTGTTCCTAGGGACTCTCGTCTAAAGTAGACGTATGACCAGCGACTAGACCATAATCATACTTCGGCCGGTTATTGATATCTTTGCAGCTGCATCATGGGATTAAATTATGACACAAGGGGCATAGCAGTTATGCTCGACGGTAGAAATGAATGACAGTCCTGGGACTGCATTAATCCAGGGCCTAGAGGGAAAGACAGCGACAGACAATTGTATTTTAGAATTCGGTCAAGTGAAGCATGCATTGCCATTGTGAAAGAAACAAGAAACAACAGAGAGCTAGTTCCCGGCAAATAATTTCTCATACAGAATGGCGGATCATGGTCGTCAGGCGATGAGCTCGAGAGTAAGCGCTGAAGAGTAGAAACAATGTGAGTCTAGGTCATTTCTTCGCGGGAGCTCCTAGGAACGTTCGGTCGTAGGCAGCAAAACGCTTATCGTCGGAGGAAATGAAACAAAGAAGAAGGGCTGACGTCGGCCAGCCGGAGAGCATGGGGGTGAGCGATCCGGGTGCTCAGGGCGGCGGGTGGACTAACTCAGGCTGGGCTCCGGGAGCCGATCGCTTCCCGAGGCGGCAGTGTTACCGTCGCCCTTTTTACAATATAGATGCTTTCTTTCTTTTAGTATGTGCTTAATATTCCTTACCGAAGCTTGACTAAATGAAGTTGACGTTCTTTACTCCGTACACTATATGCATCTTCTTATATCGCAATTATCTCGAGAGACAAGGAATTTTATATTAAGTCAATTATGTACCTAAGTATACTTTGTATGGGTAAGTCATACAAAAAAGATCCCTAACGTAATCGGTAAGCGAGCTGCGCATGTAAGCCAGCTGTGCAGCTCAAAACATATAGTAAAAATGATAAATTACAACTTGATATCTCAACAACTATGATCTATAAAGACTTCCCCTTATGGCATACCATCTTTTAGCTAATATCTAGCCTTTTGAGGGACTTTTAAGAATTTCTGAAGCCTAGGGGTTGAGTAGATATATCTTTCTAACTCGGAGCACGGTAATTTTCGTTACCACAACAATGTAGGTTTTCAATTCCCTTAAGATTGATATGTAAAGCCCATAAGCCTTATCAATAGCCATCGACTAGAAATAAACTAAGGTAATAGGTGGTTGTTGTTGAGATCTATATGTAGAGTTACTATGTGTTTTGAGCTGCGCAGCTGGCTTACATGCGCAGCTCGCTTACCGATTACGTTAGTTTCCGAAGATCTTGTGTTTGGTGTCGGGCGCTTGGTAGGTTATAAAAAGGAGACACTAACCCCTCCAGGGCTCCTGTCCTAGAGAAATTACCTGAAGCTTAACCATTTCTCTTCAATGTCTCATGAAAGCTGCATAGTTAAGTCTAACTCCCATTAGTAACTATTCGGTTCTATCTCTTTCAACCCCTTAACTAGTCGAGTCGGCTAAAAGCGAAATCAATAAAAGCGAACGCCAACAGCAGCTAGCGGCTCGGAAGAGGAACTACAGTGGAACTAGTACATATAGAGTTTGATCATTGGGGTATTATCAGGTTAGGGCATTTTGTTATGGGGTGCAGTTCCCTACCCCATACAGGTTACCCTTATATACCTTGGCGTGTCAACACCTCGTACAATAGGGGCACGCCAATGAGAGACCTATCGGAAAGCTAATGGCCGGGTCTGGTCTTGGTCGAGAACCATTTTCTTGCTTGCCAATGCTTTGCCATGCAGATCGACACTTTCTCTCCTCTTCGAGAAAATGACAGACCGGGGTGCCAGGGTGCTCTGGCTAGTACATGTATAAGGCCCCTTTGCCGACCTCTGGATGATCTTCCTTTTCTCGTATCCTCATCTACTCAAGCTGCTACACTCTTTGTGAGTTCTCTCACGTTCACTCTTTTTTTGCTGTTATCAGCGTCCATTCTTTTATCACTCTCATTAATATAAACCACGTCACTTCTCTTAATACTCGACGTATAATCTATACATTTATTCCAACGATATGAAGCAATCCATTATCACATCCCTCGTGGCCCTTGCCGCCTCTTGCTCCGTAAGAGGAACTTCCACTATTCCGGATTGCAATTGGATACGAGGCTAATAATCTATGTCTGTGCATAGGGCGTCCAGGCCACCGAGAGCTTGATCAGCGTGCCCGTCGGCCTCTGTGCGGGCATCATTGGAGATGCCGAGTGCAAGCAGCAGAGCACCAGCAACGGCCTCATCAATGTCCCCGTTAATGCCTGTGTGGCTGCTCTTGGCCAGGCTAAGTGTGACCAGGCCACTTCCTCCAGCAGCGATAGCGAGTCCTTGATCAATGTGCCGATCAACGTCTGTCTGGCTGTCCTCGGCGAGGCCCACTGCAAGCAGAACTCTGACACCAACGGCGGCCTGATTAACATTCCCATCAACCTGTGCCTGGCTGTTCTGGGTGAGGCCGATTGCCACGATGGATCCATCTCGTCTTCCACGACTTCCATCATCCCTGCTACTACCTCTGCTGTCCCCGTCGCCTCTGTGACTGGATATTCCATTCCTACCTCGGCGGTTGCCACCAATGCTGCCCCGGTGTCCCCTATCTCTTCTAGCCCTCGTCCTTCCGGTGTCGCTGCTGGACACTCCTCCGCTGGGGCTTCTTCTGCTACCACCGTGACTATTACTTACACCAAGACTATCTGTGCTGCTACCTCGGCCTGCGCCGCTGCTACCTCCATTGGTGCTAAGTCTTCTTCCCTGCGCCGTGTCACTCCTACCACTGCCGCTGGTCCTTCCTCCACCGGTGTCTGGACCACTGCTACCCCCAGCACTGTTCCCTTCAACGCTGCTGGACGTTCCACCGTTTCCGGCGTCGCAGTTGTTCTCGGCGTCATCGTTGTTGCTGCTCTGCAGATCTAAGTGACACTTTGAGCTTGCCAAGATTCCCATAACAGCAAAACTTGTTGGTGGCTATTTGTATTTGCCCCGGTGGCTTGGGCTACTGTTCACAATTATATTTCTCTTGGTACTAGGCATCTGTCTCCATTTTAAATTTTATATTCCTTTTAATCGTTTATAGCAGACCCCTTTTAGCAATCAAAGTACTATAATATATGTACTTTCATCAGTGAAGCAATCCAAGAATCAATTCGAGGACCGAGCTCAATAACAATCATCCCTGATCGCAACTCACACTGAGCCATTTGTCGCTTCACATTTGTCGCTTCACTTGACTAGGCAAGAGTAACACCACCCTGGACATACCAGCGCCCAGATCGCCGGAATCGCATTACTTCGCGGAGGCATGAGACGCCAAAACAATACCTGCATATCAATGAGCAAAGGCGTAACCAAATCGGAACGAGGATGTTGCGACCGTACATAGCCACCAGCATAAATGGACCTGTGATGCTCATGTAGACATATTCACCCAATCCGGGAGCCAAAGAGATTGTAGAACGAATATAGCTTGCAATTGAAAGAAGATCAAAAGAGGCATTGAACAGCGGATGAAAAATGACTCCTCTGCGGAGCAAGATAAGATGAATTGATGCCCAAAGCAATGGCAGGAAATTCTAAATAAATATTAGCCACTCAAATCTCCGGCCATCTCAAAAAGAAGTCAGTACCACAAACATGAAAACCCCCCACGATGCTCCCACCGTCACCAAGTAGAAGGGTGAGGCGGAGCTGGCGGCTATGCATGCCATTCGAAGCCATTTTGATGTTGTCCAATATCCATCATCAAATTGCGTAGGAAAATGGAAAGACATTTTTGGAAGAAGACAAAGAGTGAAGGGAATAAAAAGGAGATTTTGTTGAAAGATGAATGAGTCTGCAGGAGCAAATGTGGGATTGTAGCCTGGAGCAGAGCCGCGTTTGTATAGCACCCAGCACTGCCTCTGGCCCCCATGGCCCACTTATTGTTTCACCCATCTTTTGCACAAGAAAAAGGAGCCTATTAATAGTTTTTTACTATCTGTGACATACAGTGGAGTTCGCAAAGACTCACTGGGAATTGTAAAAAAGCCTTACCGTTCATGCTATCCATGGCCCGGCTGCCCGGCCCCGGATCTCTAGTTGGCGTCCATCGATTTACTAGTGCAGTGATTCAACCGGACTAATTGTGCCTCTCCGTGACATACGAGGTGAACTGATCATAGGCCTGGACTCCCCTGAGATCCCACCAAATACGACTAGGGTGATGATACATGACTCTCTAGTCCCAATTGCTATACCCCGGCTTTTACACGGGCTCACTCAAGGAGGTGGCTTTGCTACATGTCCGACGCCTCCAAGTTGGGAGTTTGAGCTGTACATTATCTGATCCTTCAAATTCTGCGAGGCAGTCATGCCCGTGCTTGACCGGAGAAGTCGCTATATATATATAGTCCCTAAATATCAGTCATTGATCGAATGTGGGATATCCCACTGACCATTAGCAAGGGGATTGATAATATAGCCTCAGGATGGTTGAAAGTGGCCGATACAATATTAAAACAGCTACGTACTATCACGTCCATTGAGCTTCAATGCTCACATGGACTGACTGCCTTATAGTCCTGGTACCAGAGCCGCCCGTCATGCCCGTCATGAGTAACACAGGCTTGACTGGAGTGTCTAGGAACAGGTCAGCCTAGGTGTCCTCATATGCTTCTGGTACGGCACGATACTAGACGTACAAGTCTGACCAAGTGACGCCGCTAAGGCAATTATGTTGTATTGGGGGTTTTCGGACCCATTAGCGGTCATTCTCGCGTGAGTACTTTCTTAGTCTATTTGGTGGAATAGGCTGTCCTCTTGGCATGAATTAGTCGGTCTTTTGTGTTTGATCTACCTCGAATTATTGTGTTTCATGTCAGTTGCTTTGTACATCTGGCAGAGCCGGTGGCCCCATCACTTTTATTTTGTTATAGTGGTGTTGTCTTGCCATCCTTATTGTTTTCGAGCTATTTAACGTACCCCTTCGGTAGTCATGTAACTTCAACCAATGTCATGCGTTCCATTGCCCAATTATCATGCCACTCCAGACTACTCAGATCACGCGGCCTCAAATGATGCAATAAGACGAGTCGATAGGCAGGCAAACCCCGCAAAGACCAGGAAGGTTCTCTAGTTCGGATAGTTCATTGGACAATGGTGTCGACGGTCGTACCATTGGACAACCCGTCAACCCGTGGACGTAATTCAGAATGAATTACATCACCACAAGCATTCCCCGCATTCTGGGGTATTACGCATATAAAGAGTTGACACTTCTGGATTGAATTTCAGGAGATTTACTTCTACCTACAATCCTTCAATTATCACTTATCACTTATCACTCATCACAATTACTTCACAGATTTCCAATATGGACAATATGGACAAGTACAATTCTCAGTGGGTCTCGTTCCACATTCGGGACCACATCAAGGATGGCGAGATCCTAGTGCAGAACACTGTCATTGAAGGGTATTTATGATTCCAGGGATTTTACCATAATCTCTACTAACACCCGGCAGCGGCGAGTTTGCCGACCCCAACAACCGCCGCAAGTCGCTCACTGAAGAGGAGATCGACGAGATCAAGATCTCCCCCGATGGCGTTGGCGAGATCGGCGCTAGCAGCCGTCGCGGTAGTGAGGGCCGCCTGGACCTTTTTCATGACAACGACAAGATCTGCGAGCTCCACTGGGAAAACCGTGGTGGAGAGTACGCCAACTTGGTTGAGGTGTTGGACAAGAGCGACAAGTACACCATCGAGCATGGAGGATGGAGTTCTGAGGCCGGTCCTCTGGGACATGTCTTTATCGATGTCGCAGAGAAGAAGAAATAATTACGCTCCACAGGCTGCACCAACTCCCTACTTGGGCGTTGAAGAGCGAAGAGCGTTGCGGTCCGTGGAGCATGAATGGCAATATTTGGTGGGGGAATATTGGTCGTATTATCAATACTGTAAACAATCCCAAAAATACCAAAAACAATGTAAAATGTCAGAAAACCAGAGTTCAAATGCGGTCATTGAGAGAATTAGCAGCGAAAGAGTTGTATTGTAAATACGTAATTGAACTCACTAACCCTTGAACAAGTAACTAAGAGCGCCTTCTGCGAACCAGGCCTTATCTTTTTTCCAGGCGTGGACGATCAGATCTCTTCCCAGCCTCACCACCTCCTCGATTTGCTTTTCAGTGCCCCATCCAGGCACTCTACTTCCCCAGCAACTCAGGTGCACACCAACGTGGATCGCAGTGCGGAAGGCCATTTCATCGTTGAGGGCCCCATATCCCTCCAAGAACCCTTGAATAATCCACACTCCACCGTCCAAATTCTTGAACAGCTTTGTTTCATACAGCTCAGCGATCATTTGACCCAAGTCTAATGCGCGGCTTCCAATCTGCGCCAATTCCCAATCGACGATGAACATAGCCGTCTCAGATTGGGGTGTGAGAGGAACGTTTGGGATCAGAACACTAGAAATCACGTCAGTAACCTGGCTCAGTTCAGGGAGTCTAGATCCAAGAGAGCATACTTTCCAGTCCAGAAATCACCGTGAATGACCCCATATCCTTCGTCATGGCTCTGTCGCTCGAGCTCTGCTGCAGCGAGGTCACGAACCTTCTCGAAAATATCACGATCCCGCTCTAGAATATCGGGGAAATTTTCAATAGTGTCCAGCAGCATAGTGTAGTTCACCCAGAACTTCAATTCTTTCATGACTTTATTCTCCCCAAGAAGTTTTGTAGATTCCACTTGCTGTTCCTCAGCTGTCCAATGGTGAAACGATCTCAGCCAGGATCCAAGGGCGCTGCCCAAGGCTCGCCCTGAAGATTCGGACAAGTCGCGGGAGACCTCCGAGAGCAGGAAGGTCTTTAGGTCGACTGAATTTGGAAGATCTTCGAATACCTGGGTGTCTGTCTCCCGATTGAAGTCCAATAAGCGTGGCGTCTTAACAGTTATTTTGCCATTTTTATACATTGCCAGGTCATCGAGAGCTCGAAGAATGGCTACCTCGAAGTGCTAACTTGATATCAGTATAGTCCGCAGCAGGGTCATTCAATGGATTGCAACTAACGCATCTCGTGACATCGATTTTAAAATCTGGGTTAGAGGCCGAGTGATCTTTGGTGTGCTTGATAATGATGGATTGTCCAGTTGAGGAAAGTGTGCCACGATAGACAAAGTTGGCTGTGCCTCCAGACAGGCGTGTGAGGGACGAGCATGCGAAGGGGGTGGGGGAAAGTTGCTGTGCAATTTCATCCCGCGTTTGATCCCGCTCATTTGTATTTGCCATGTCGTATGACTTATTTGACTGAAAGTTGTGAAAGATTCCAAGCAGTTCACACGAACGTTCCCTCTCTAGACCTAAAATGCGCTAGTACGTATAGGGTCCCCGCATTTACAGTGGAGACATTTAGAGTCCCTAACGACGATTCTGCATATCGTTATTTCAGGATCGGAAACCAGTATCTCGGCGTGTCTCCGCACTTCAACCCGAGGAATTAGATGAAGATTAGAGACGTGGACTCTCTGACACGCCTATGGCTGTTTCCACCACCAGACAAAGTACCACCAAATGAAAGAGAAGAGCAAATCCAGCGTCCAAAGGGACGCAGAAAGACTATACTAGATGGAAGAACTATGTCGTACGCATAAGGGACGTCTACAGTTATCACGCCGATTTCAAAAATCTCCTAGATACACACATTGAACCAAGTGACTGTGAATCGCAGCCCTCATCACCAGCTGACCGGTGAGATTCCGAGGTCGTGACCAGGAGGACCGGGACATGGACTGATCACCTGGATATTTCGTTTGCAAATCAATCAAATATTCATTCTCTCATTACGCATAATCGTCAATTCGGCAAAGGATAATCAAACTATCAGGAAGGTATGGATCCATGTGGCACATGTCGAAACGGAGTCTTCGTGTGAGAGTATACAAGTCGCTAATCAACCAGAGACGTCTTGAGACAAAAGCAAAACGAACGAAAAGAACGCATCAAGATAACAATGCTGTCTCTAAATCGATACCAGGTCTCAAGTAAAAGCACATACCCCATATTCCATGGTATAAGGCTAGAATTGCAGCACGATAAAAGAAAGAGCGGAACAAAAGAAACCCAGGCAAAGGAAAACTGTCCGAAGTCGAGATTCACTACTCAGTATTTATCCTCGTCGCGGTGCCTTGAGTGGCTGGTATGACCAGAACTATGAGAGTGCCCGCTGTGACCGCTGTGACTACTGTGCCTCGAATGGCTCCGATGGCCATGATGGTGGTGATGATGGTGGTGACGGTGACGGCGATGGTGCTCATGTCCATGCTCATGTTCACTATCGTCGCCATGCCTCTTGTGATCCTTCACTTTCTCCTCTAGGAAGTTCCCGAGTAGAGCACCACCAATCGCACCAAGTAAGCCATGTTCTTTCTTATGACCGAGGTAATAGCCCGCCACGCCGCCAGCCAGCGAACCACCGAGCCCACGGTCAATACCCCGGTCAGTGTCGGTTTCTGTATCGGAGCGCTGTTCGCGAGCGTGCTGTGAATCTTCTGGTTCTGATATATAGACAGCGGGAGGGTGGGGACTTGCGGAGGGTGTGTACCGTGGTTGGTCGGCTGGATGGTCGTTGCTAGGGCTCAGCATTAGTGTCGGTTCTCGCAGCTGGGAATGCATCGCCACTCACTAGTATCCTGCGTTCCCAGGGATCCTGTCTTGTGCACTTTGGTATCCTGTTGGAGTCACTGGCCCAAGATAGTCTGGCTGCCCTGTCGGCGTATAGCTTCTCTCCATGGAGGATGCATATGGCTCGGGCGCAAGGTGTGAACTGTGCTGTGGAGCATAGGCTTGGTTTGGGTTTGGACTGGGCTGGTAAGGCTCTGGTCCGGGATTGTATTGCGCTGATCCGGGGTTATGGTATGGTTCTTGGTTTCCGTATGGCTGGCCATATGCCGGGTGGTGAGGCTGATCCTCTGGGGGATAGTAGCCAACGCCGCTCGGCGTGGGCGTTGAGTTGTAAGCGTTGTATGGATCTGCCATGGCGATGGGATACGTCGAGGAAATCCTGTCGCATCAAGGACAGGGAAACGGAAGGGGTTTTACGTGCCTATCTAAATAGGCATGTCAGACAGATGACTAGTGGGGCTATACATCACCTGGGGATGGTGCGGCTGACCTGCCCGCACGGCCCTCGATCTTCCACAGCTTTGGAATGCACCAACTCTCCAATCAGGTACTGATCACTTGCTTCTCTGCATATGTACAGTTGAGAGGTGTGCCTTGTAGTATTTCTTGATATTTTTTTAGGAAAATATGTTCGGCAACTGATATTGTATTGAGATACGCCAGTCCATTAACCTTGAATGACAAGATGTGAAAGAAACAAAACTGAACACGGATGAGTCGGGGTATTCCGGTGAAAATCGAAGGAAAAAAGGAAAGCATGGTGTAAATAGAGCTGGCCGTTAAACGTTCGAGGTCACATCGCGCTCTGGGGCGATGGAAAAATGCAGAACAAGAATTTGAGCCAAGCAGTGGCATCAAGACACAAAACGGGAAGGGAAAAAAGTAAAGGAAAGGATGAGGGCTGGCCAAAAGTGATGCGCCCAGCACATTCAAAGACAGCCTGGCCTTCATCGCCATGCAAGGCGGACGGTTTTGGTTCCAAAAGATTCATGCACAGTTATACTGGTGGATTCTGAATGCCACGAGTCGAGTTCGAGTTGTTAGTCCGCTGTGACATCCAGTTCACAAGCAGGTCGTCCAGCTGATTGTTCATCTCCTTGAGTCTCTTGCTTTCCTCCTTGAATAGACGACCGGTGATTGGGTGGTCAGGGCCAGCGGGAGGTACATTTGATTTATCGTGGACAATAATAAACAAATCGCGAATGTCGTTTTCTTCGTCCATGTACGATCGTAAACTGGAGTCGCTCCACGTTGGGGTGTCCACAGAAAGCGTATCGACTGAGGCAGGAGCAGCCGTGCTACCCTTGGGGTAATTAACGTCCTGTCCGGGTGATGATGGTGGAGACGGTGGCGAGAGAGAGCGTACTTCTCGAGAAGACGCATTATTTGCTGAGCCGTGTGCGCTCATGGGGGAATAAGCCTCCACAGGAGAGATATTGACAGGGGACTCCGACTCATCTCCAGCCACCAGCGTAGGCACGAATTTCTGGGGTGGAGACGTAACGGACGCGGGTCCAGCCGTTGTGCGGCCCGGATCATTTGGTTCTCTCCATTGAGCTTCACTTGATGGTCGATCAACAGGCGACTCCAGGGGGTTCATGGATTCGAGCGGAGTAGCAAAGGGGTCTTTGGAAGGGCTCGATTGGCTAATAGGTGATTGTAACACAATTCCACAGTCTTCGTAGCTGCTTTCTCTTTCTTCTTGCAGTGGCACCTGTCGAATGCCCTTGTTGCCCTGACTCTGGTTAATGGCCTCGTTGCCCCTGGCCAACTCGGCCATCGTAGGGTCAAGGACTGGATCAACCTTCATGATTCCTGGGGGCTGCTTGTGTAGCTTGTTGTTCGATGTTTTCTGGGGCTTAGAGGGTCGTTGTTGTTCGGGAGATACAGACTTTGACGAGATAGACTCCATCGAGGTCTTGGGTTGGGGTGATGTGCGGAATGCCGACTCTGCAGGAGACCTTTCTGGGTCGTCAATGTCGTCTTTGCTCTTCTTGCGCTTGAATAACCCGCTGAGCATTCCAGGTTTCTTGTCTTTTCGCTTCTTCTCCTCTCTCTCTTTGATTTTGTCCTGTGAGTTAGAGCCCTTTTCGATGGATTCCAAGCTTCCACGAGGCTTCACCAAAACGTCAGCCAACTGATCTTTGGATAAACCCATGATGGGAAACATACCTCTTTCCACTCAGCCAAGGTGTTTGCGCTGTTTTCATCGCGAATATCGCGCAGCAGATTTGGTGTGAGAGAAATCTTCTTGGGCTCGGCCGTGTCATCTTTGAAGAAGGAATCGGTGTTCCGTACAGTGCCATTTCTGGATCTACTGACGGTGGGTTCTGCTTTGTGAAAGTGAGTTGAGTTCCAATACAATTCGAGTGCAGTTGAGTGGAGTGTGCTTACCTTCGGCCTCAAAGAACTCTTCACTAGACGGGCGTCGATCAGAGCTTGAACGCTGCAAATCCGGTTTCTCCGCACCATTGGCATCGGCATGCTCTGTGGGGGTTTCTTTCTGGGCTTTGGGCCTAAGAGGTTCCACGACAATATTTTCAGCTTGCTCTTGCACGTCTTCCTCTTCTCCATCCAGAGTCTCGTCATCGTTGAAAAAGTCGCCATGTTCGGAATCATCGTCCGTCGAGTAGTCGACATCGGAGGCGTCGATGTACGTCGGGGCCCCGAAGTTGACAGTCTTCGCATTCCGACGGCGCATGGCCTTCTTCAAAGGATTCTTCGACTTCTCGTTGTTGTCGCCCAACATGGTCGCAGACAGATCCACGTTTCTGTGTTTATTTAATCTGGCAAGCCTTTCGGTTGGTGTTTCGATGTGTTCCGCAGGGAGGTAACCAATGCTGCCATCCTTCACCACGCGCACAAGCCACCAGTAGCTGTTGCTGTCGTCCAGAAGTACCATAGTATCACCCTTTGCAGCATTTGCTTGCCCATCGACCGTTGCGACGAAGTTGTGAAGCGCATATACAAACTCAAAATCGATGTCCTCTGTATAACATCAGCTAACGCCCGATTAATGCCTATAATTCCCGAGAGTCCCTACCATCATCGATAGAGGGTGAGCTGGAAATTTTGTCCATCATATCATCGTCCATCATGTCATCGCTTTCGCCGTCTGCCAGGTCGCCATCTTCATGGTCGTAGTGATTTTCATCCTCATCGTCTTCCTCGTCATCTGGTTCTCGATACACATCCTTGTCACCACGGTATTCGTGATTTTTGTCTGGTCCGCCCTTTATCTCCGCTTGCGAATCTTGTTCGGCATGGCGAATGGACAGTTCTTGATGGGGAGCAGGCCGGCCGCTCCCAAGAGGATCCGGATGTTCGGGTTGTCTGGTGTGATCTTTGGCGGAAGGGGTATCGTGATCTTGAAGGTCCAAGGTATCTAGAGGTGGCGGTCAGCGTCAACACCTTCAGCTTCGAACCAATTGGCCTCGCGCCCCAGAAATTTTGACGTACCAGCTCGGATCATCTGAGGCCTGGTCATATTGCAGTGTAAATGAGTGTGGTATCAAGAGCAATGGGTTGAAACAAGTCGTGGGCGCAAGGAGTGGCTAGCGATCCAGGAATATCGAAGTTAGAAGACAAGCGCGTGACGAAGGTAATGCGCGAGCCTTCAGATTCCCTGTATCCAAGCAATATACGAATACTACACAGTGAAAAAAATGTCGACCGGGGTTCGCGAGCACTTGGTGAATTGGTCTGAATGAGAGACAGTGCCTTGAATGAGAATAGTGGGGGCTGGTCTGCACTTCGGTCCAGCACGGAGGTCGACACAAGGAGAAAGAAATGACTGCCAGAGCGACAAGGAGAAAAAGAGAAGGCGACAAGAAAAACACAGAACAAAGAGATGTCTGCCAAGGTGACGTCGAGTCTGAATAGTAACTCCTTTCACATCTCCAAAAGGCAAAAGGAGGTATTCCCAAACAAGCGCCCCTTGCGCGCGGTTAAAACCATGGCTTGACCCCTGAACACATATGAGGACACGCAATAATGGCCGACTTGGCCAGAGCTTCTTATGGTTATATTGGCCTTTGTACGCCTACTACGCTATTATAAATATATACTGGGCATTTTCTGGGCAGTTAAGTATACACAATATCTCAGCACTTTATACAGACTAGTTACATGACACTGTGGAGAAACAGTCAAAAGTAAGACAATAGTTATGTCCACAAGCACATATATTATGTAATATTTGCCCAACATCCCCTATTTCCGGCTTTGCTTTCATCGAAGGGAAATTAGGGCCAGGGTTGCCCTTTAGTCAGGTGACTTGGAATTCTCGTGATCATCCGGTTTTCCCCGATTTGCCTTCCCCTCTCAGTGACCGGACTACTTGACGAATACCTCACTTTCAGTTCTCTCTTACTGCCTTTGTTTGTACCCACCTTGTGTCATCTCGATTTTTTATTATTTGCAATATTCAAGTTCCAAACCTCTTCAAAACCTCCTCGATCACAGCTTCCTTTACATCACCACTATCTCAAACGTTCTGTCCCCACTCTTGCCGTTATCACCCCACACTCACAATCGTCTTCAACGCCATCGCGAAGCATACCGCAGAAAAGCCAAGCAGAGGGTTGTATAACCCTACTGCAAGCCTATCACGGGCTGACAATACGACAATTTCCGTCTCGTGCTCCTCGTTAGGGCATGGCACATAGCGAGAGGGCCGGATTGGCAAGTGGATTGGCAGGTTTAAGGATTGAAACGAACTTTCCCGAGCGGAACAATTCCAAATGGGCAAATGAAAATGCTGGGAGGAAAGCGACAACAGTGGGCGATGGTATCGAGAGCGATCACACCAATCAATCTAATGATTATGCGCGTCGCCACGATACTGATGAAGACCGCAGTTTGTTAAATGATCTACACTCAGCAACCCCTCCCATCTCGGTCCCTCGCCACGATGAGCAGCATCACGTAGACGATGCCGACAACTTCCCACACAAGCCCGATGACGTGCAGGGGTCACCCCTCGATAGCTATCTGCACACTCGTCGACCCTCGATCTCTTTCAACCCGAAGGTCTCTGTGGAGTCCGGCAACCAAATTCCACTGGAAGAGCCACTGTCGATGGGTGATGTGAAGAACCGACCACCACAAAAGTTTGAGTCTCGTAGCTCTGGACTCCGGAATGCTCTTTCACAAGATGATGACCATGTCGAACCGAATCACCAGTCTCCGAGCTGGAGTCCCAAACGATCTATAAATCGGAGTTTCCCGACCGGGGAATCCCGAGCCCAGCCCTTTGCGAGATCTGAGAATGGCTCGGCCACGGGCTCAGAGCTCGATCGTCCGACGTCCCTGACATCGCAGTCGACGGTATCTCCGGTCACGGACGAGGTACGAACCCCTCCCGATTACTCCAGCCACACTTTGCTGTCGCCATTTTGCGCGCCATCGCCAACTCAATCGTTTGCATCGCCTGAAGACCGCAGCAGCTCTTGGTCAGGAGGGATCGCAACACCCTTCGGAAGCAAGCGCAGCTCTACCCTCGATCGCAGCAGCAGTCTTCGGAACTCGACCCGGCACAGTTCTCGACGGTCGACTAACTCGAGTGGCAAGTCGCCTGCCAGTATGTTTCTTTCCATGTGGAACAACGTCGAAGAGCCTGCTCCCCAACCTGATGACGAAGGTCAGATGGTGGGAGACGACTATGTTCTGGGAAAGCAAATCGGGTTTGGAGGTTTCAGCGCGGTGAAAGAGGCCTATAAGGCCGAAAAGCACGGTGAAACGAAAAGACTTGCCGTGAAGATCGTGAGAAAGCAGATTACAGGGCGAAGCGAGCATGAAAACGACGAGGTGCAAGCCGAGTTCGACCACGAAGTACGAGTCTGGCGGTACCTCAGCCACCCGCATGTATTGACGCTCGATGCCGTGTACGAAACAGATTATGCCACGTTTTGCTTCACCAAACTTGCTATTGGTGGCACTCTCTTCGACCTCGTCCGCCAAAATCGATCCGGTCTAGATACGCAATTAGCAAAGAAATATGCATACCAACTAGCATGCGCAATCCGTTACCTGCACGAAGACGCCCGCGTGGTTCACCGGGATATCAAGCTAGAGAACTGTTTGCTCGATCCTGTCCAGTGTGCTGACGGTACGACATCCTCGACCTTGGTACTGTGTGATTTCGGAATGGCGGAATGGATGTCCATTGACAACGGTGGCGATTCTCCCGACCCATACGAGGATGCCGCCGACCGTCCACCGCCTCAACAAATGGGGCCTGCCGGATCCAGTACCAGCGTGGCAGGTAGTCTGGAATACGCCTCTCCCGAACTGCTTCAATCGGTAGACGGTGTGATTCACCCTTCAGTCGACGTCTGGGCCTTTGGCGTTATCGTATATAGCGTGATCGTCGGCTCACGCCCTTTCCAAGACGCTTTCGCTCCTCGCATCCAAGCAAATATTCTCAGTGGTACGTGGGATTGTAAGGCCGTATTCCGCGACAATATGGACGGCCACCTTCGCAAAGATCGCCAGTATGCCCTCGATCTGATCCGCGGCTGTCTCGAAATGGACCCCGACAAGCGTTGGACTATCAGCGATGTCCTAGCTTCGTCCTGGCTACGAGAGGTCCATGAGACTGCTGAACCCTCACCCGACACTGTATGGAGACTGTGAGCTTTGGTCATCTCTTCTACCATTCCGTGATTAGCAATCCCATATCCTGCCCTTGCACTCGCACTCCAAGGCAGATGAAGTTCTTTAAACGCTTTAACGTCAAATTTCCGACGATATGATGGCTCTCTCTTTTCCGGCGCTGAAGATTCAACAAGTGCCGATGCTCTCGGGGCCCTTGAAATCACTATGATACCCCTCCATTTTGTTTTATTTTCTTTTTGCTTTTTTTGCATTGCTTCAGCTCAAGACTGTCATCATGTGCCTTTCCTTTCTTTTGCGCTTTGCCACGATCTGTTCTCAATATCCCCTCGCGAAGCGCATTCTTGATTCTTGCTTTTTGGTTTTGGCTTTGGTTCGGTTCTGGTTTAGGCTTTGGTATCACGATACGGACGATTATGATTTACTCTTATAGCAGCGTGGCGTCATCTTATTGTTGTTATTTGGTCGGACGTTGCATGAGCATTCGTCACTTCGGTTCATTGGTTTGTGTGGTCAACTTAGCATGATCATTTGCTTCTACTGTTGTACTTTTATATCTGCGGATCTTTGATTCCTCTTTGCTGATCTGGCTTCGTCTTCTCTGCTCAATTTGATGAGATATCCTCAAGATGGCTGGACTGTCCTGAGTACTGTACGAGACACAATAGTTAAGCTACATAATGTATTTCGTTCTGCGATTCACAAGAATAGTCGGACGCTCATGCGGCCTCTGTCCTTGATGACGTAGGACTAATAATCCGATCTGTCTAGGTCAAGATAATAAGTAGCATGGCTCCACGGATTTCATTTAAGACAATGGTCGGATATCTTTGGATGTGCTTTTTCTATTTTATTGCGCGGGGACGTATTTAATGCATAGACCTCGAGGTGCTTATACACGTAGGTTATTCCTCATAATGAAAGATATCTTAGAGAATAGAAAGAGCAAAAAAGGCCAAGAAGCATCTAATTGCAAAGCCTAACATATCCAACAGAACATATTTATACATATACAGCAGACCAGTCTAAACCAACCTTCAAAAAAAATTGCGAACGAATAGACCACCAAATGGAGATCAAGTATGAGATTCCCCGAAACCCCCAAACTTACCAAAGCCTATTCTCAGGCAGAACCTTCTCCTTCTTAACACCAGCAGCAGACTTTCTCTCCTCGGAAGAGCGGAAGAACAAACTAGGTCCCTCAAGCGGCTTAAGCAGGTGCGAAAGATAACCTCGATGCGCAGGATCACGGTAATATTCAATATCTTTACGCTTCGTCGGATCCGGCAAGCGGTACTTCAATTGCTGCTTGTTGACCACAGTATTCCACTTCATCCAGGCCGCCGTAGGCCGAACATTGGCGAGTTTGTAGAGCTGCTCAGAGCCACTCTCGCGCGCCCACGCAGCAGACAAGAAACTGTGAGTCTCGCCGTCCAGGATACGACGGATGGACGGCCGTGTGTAGTAGCGGGTAGTCACTGAGCCGCCGGCGCTTTCGATAGCGGTGATGGCGGAGGCGGAGACGCGCGAGGCAACGACGTGGATTGGTTGTTTCAGGGCTTCGGCGCCGTCGCCGAGGATCTTGAGGCCGTCGATGGGTCGGCCGATGCACCCGCTCTTGTAGAGCTCTTTCATTGTGATCGGGCGTTTGGGGTTGATGCGGCCTTGGTCGATCCAGTATTGGAGACGGTCGAGGTTGACGGTTGCCATGTCGACGGAGAAGCTGGATTCAAAGAGAGGGATTGATCAGAGGTGTGATTTAGGGAGTTGATGTTTAATAATGGAGGACGACTTACATGTTGACGCCGCCGCGCTCGCCGTGCACGATGATGTCCTTTGTCTGGCCACCATTGAAGCCCGCTGGGACTTTGCCGTGCTGGCCTTGACCCTTGTGACCGCGACCGGAGGTCTTACCCTTGCCTGAAGCGGGACCGCGGCCTCGACGGATGCGCTTGTTGTAGGCAGTAGGGTTGTCGGAGAGGGAAGCTAGGATGGAAGCGCTGCGGGTTTGCTGGGATTGGGGGAAGAGGAAGGCGAGTGGGGAGACATGTTGAAAGGGGCGGGCAGAGAATTGTGCCAGCTGCGTGGGCAGCCCCATCAGCCGGGGAGACATGGCGTGTGTTTGTAGTTATGGGCTCGCTGGTGTTGGATTCGCCGGTTTGGTGGTGAGTTTCGAGATCTCTGTCGGGACGGGTCATGTTTGATCCGACTCCGGGATGGCCCTAACTACAGTATGGGGCACCGGGTTGCTCATGCGGTTTTTTTCTTTTTTTGGAAGGATATTGGCCTTTTTGATGAAGAAATTAAAGATGTGTCTGTTACGCTCGGTCCTCTGATATACATATTTATCGGTATGGACTCAGACAGTCGCTTAACTGGGTCACGGTATGTCTTCAACTCAAATCCTTGGATAAGTACGCAGGTAGCTGCTCATTATATTAAGTTACACAATGAAAACATTGGAGGTCCAAGGAAAAAAAAATTACCAGTCGGTAATTCTAGATTCATATGCTGCAGAGCTAAAGCTAAGTCTGCCAAAGGAAAACGCCGTGTGTATGCAAAATGCAACAGGAGTACGCTGCCGATGTGCTTTCGAAGCACATTCGACGGACATGGGCGAAGCTAAAGTCAAGAATAACGCCGCAGATGCCATCCCCGAGGTTAATCTCGTCTGCAGGGAGGCGAAACCCGATTTCCTTCTAAAATGGAGCGCCGAAAATATGCCAGATAGAATCGTAAAAATGAAATGAGGAAGTCTGTGCAATCGGAAAAGGAAGACAAGCAAGAGAAAGGGACAGTAAGGTGTACAGCGAATGAGATAATTTTTTTCTCGTGTGACGGGTCGTGGCGCGGTGAAGTCATAAACTTAGAAGATGAGTGGTAGAAACAAGGGCACAGCTTCAACCAGAGTAACCTGTGGTTGGGTAGATAGGGTGCAGGTAAGGAGCTTGGCTCCACGCGTCAGGCTGGATGTAGGGCAGCAGGCCGGTCTTGCGAGAAGTGTTACCCTTTCCAAGCGGCTGGTAGTGCATATGGTCAAACGGAACATTGCGCTGCTGCTGTAGAGAGCTTGACGGAGGTGGGATTAGCAAGGTGTTGACGGAACGCACTGGCCGGTAAGGCGAGTTGCGGTTGGCGAGGAAGACAGAAGGAGAGAGATGTGTCTGCGGGGTGGTGACGGAATAGGCTGAGCCAGCCGGCGAGACGGTGGCAGAAGACACACCGAATGGACTCTGGTGGTGCCGGCCTAGTTCTGGCAGTGAAGGCGTGGTGTACATGCTAGATGGCATCGGGGGCACGGAGAGAGGAGGCATCTGCTGCCAATTCGCCGGCCGATTGTAGATAGGAGGCATAATGGCTGGCAGGTGGGAAGATGCCGTGGGAGGGAGCGTCTGAGGCGCGGGATAAGAAGTTGGAAGGGGAGGCGGATGGTGAGGAGGCGGAAGACGAGAAACGTTCATCGGTGCTACCGGGGCAGAAGTGGGAGTCAAGACTGGTGGCAGGGTGGGTATCGCATTCATCGCAGTCACCGGAACCGTCATCGAAGGAGCGGATGTGGCGGAAGATAGCGCCAGCCGCTTAGTCGGGTGAAGCTCATCGTTCTCATCGCGGCTTCGTTTCCGGGAGCCTCCCATCGCAGCCTCGCCGCTCATGTGTTGTGGCGGCAGCGAGTATGGCAATCCGTTGGGTGGCATATACCAATTGGGCGGCGGCTGGGATCGGAAAGCATCGGTGCCAGGCGACGGCAACTTGGACGATGGCGACTGCGATTGCACGCGGGGAGGCGAAACATGGAGCATGGGGGCTGACTCGACGGGTAGCATCGAGGCCTGGTTGAAGTAGTCCCCGAAGAGTCCTAGCTTGGTGTGCCACCGGGCCCATTCGGCCTCAGAGGAGAACAGATCGTAGCGAATGTTGCTCAAAAACTCGACCTCCATAATATGAATCTCGTGCACTGCAATACCCGATACCTCAGCCCACGTCTTATTGGTGTAAGTGTTATCGTCGAGGTCTGTGGATGAGTCAGCTACCTTGTCCAATGAAATCAAGGGCGGTGAACCCGATAAGAACACTCACATTTATTGCCGAGCATCAACGCAACCGTCATCAACCGGAACTCGCTGCCTTTCTTGCCCTTCACCCCCGAGTTGAACTTCTTCAGGCGGTAAATAAACAGAAGGGCCAGTAGAATGACGTTCTGGCTGACTTGCGTAGTGGAGAGAATCGTGGCAACCCATTTCTGAAATCCGAGGGTGGGTACGGCCTCGGAGACCAGGGAAGGAACGGGATGTTGGCGGTCTTCAATGGCTTGCAGTTTCGAGGTCTTTTCGAACCAGAATAGACAGGTCATCTATAAACAAATACGTTAGCTCATGTCATGACATCACCTCTGTAGACCCGGGAGTTCTCACCTGAGCTGCAAACTCGGCCAGACTTCCCTTGCTGTTGTTGATGGATGAAGGAATGCGGAGTTGCGATCCAGTTGCAGTTGACTTCTTCTGAGCAGTTGGTTCCGTTGCGGGGGCTTCTTTGGTCGTGTGGCCTTGTGGTTTCATGGCCATCATCGAGGAAATGGAATCGAACTGGGGGCGAGAATGGTCGTAGTGAGAGGGCACCCCATTTGGTCTCCCCCCATATGCGATAGGTGGCATAGCATTGTAGGTGACGCCGGTCATATCGTGGGGAGGGGTTGGTAGACCGTTCCGAATGGGAACAGTCCGACAGGATCCCGAGGTTTGGCTCTCAAGGGCCTTCAACGGGTTATCCTCAGTCAAGTCGATGGTTGGAACTCCCAGTGTCGAAAAGGAGGAATGGAAGTCCACAGTGGAAGACATAGGGAAAGAGTGAGTGATGAATAGAGAGGTCGACACATGGAGTTTTATTTCCTTTTTCTTTTTTTTTTTGATCAAAGCAAATAAAGGCGTCGGCGGAGAGAACCGAGGAGTTTCAGTGACCCATGTTCTCTATTAAAGGTGAAGATGGAGCCAAGCAGTAGACAATAAGTAATTGCCCAATTGGAATGCAATCAAGGAGGAAAGGGCGAACAGAGACGTTTTATTCCAAGTGAGGGAAAAGTGAATATAGGCCTTTCACAGGGAGTTTGAATGATGTATATAGAGTAGCCACGATAGGCCCATATAAGGAAAGCAGTGATAAACCAGAGAGATCCGGCTACTCCACTCAGAGATGAGGAAGGAAAAAAAGAATACGGAAAATTCCAAAAAAAATAACCAAAAATAATCAATAATAAAATAATAAATTGTATATTGTAGTCAAGGCATCATCTCCATTAACCCAAGTCCACAGACCCCATCCGGAGAAAGCGATAGTGGCCATACACAGAGTTTGACCCGGACGCAGGTCCAGGTTGATCCTCCTTTCTGGGCTCGTTTGGGTTCCGGGTTTGGTCAATCTAGTTTTGGAAAATAATAATCCAATAAAGTAACAAAGGTAACAAGGTAACAAAAATAATCAGGAAAATACCGGTTGATGTCAGAGCCACGGGGTGGTCAACAAGTGGATGCAACTAAAAAGGGTAGGTCACAGAATGTTTACCTGGTCCCGGCCTCACATTTGCAGTAAAAAGACAAAGAGTTGGCAAGGCGTAACGGACTAGTGAAAGCGAAAAAAAGGAAGTAAAAAAAAATACTTAAAAAGAAAAGTAAAACCCAAATCAAGCTAGAATCAAGTTGAAATCAAAAGAGAGAAGGGAGGTTCAATCCTGAGACCCATATCAGATCCAATAATAAGTCAGGTTTAGCGTCAATAAATTACCAAACCGTGTTATGCGAGGTGAAGGGCTGTGAGGGTGCGCAAGCATGTAGGTACGCCTCCGTCCTGCAAAAGAAAAAGAAATGGCTAAAGGGGGGGCCGGGAAGCGCGGGGCCTAGGGAGGTTTGAGCGTGGCTGGCACTCCATAGCCGGGTGTACATGCAACTTAGTACTGGGAAGGCAAAGGAATGAGCCGAAAAAAAAAGTAAAAGAAAAAAAAGCAGGAGAAAAGCAGGAAAAAAAAGAAACCAATAATGAGAGAATGGAAGATCAATTACTTGGTTTAGGACAGAGGTCCCAAGAGACCAAAGGGACCAAACAGAGGGAAGATCGGGAGTCTCGGTAAGAATGGTGCATTCTTATGTAAGAAGGCAAAATTACCAAATATTCAACCAATCAGAGCAGAGAACACAATAGAATACAAGTATATTTTGTAATTTGGAGGAATGGTCCACTAAAAGTCTCAGGTGGGCCAATTTCCTTTCTCTTTCTTTTCCATTTTTCGTGTTAATTTTATCCCGTGTACGACCGGTCCACGGTCCATGGGCTTTCATCTGCCTAGCTCTATCACACCTGTGCTCGCGTACTCCCCGACTTTTTAGCCGCTGCCTATCGGTCATTGGTTCATTCTATGGGTTTATGGACGGGTTCGGAGATAAGTAATTATTTGGCATGTTCGCGTCTTTCCGTGTGAAGTCTTGGTCTCATCCCGCGTCTCCCCTGCAGCCCACTGTTCCGGACGACTTTCCTGTTTATGATTTCAGGGGGCATCTCATCATAATTACAGGATGCTATCCCAGTTGACCGACTTGATAGTTCAGGAGCCTAGGCGGAGGACACCGGAATCCCGTTGTCTGATTCGTCCGGCTTTTATGCACTGGACTTTCCCAAGGTATTTCGCTACCTCCTACAGGTCACCACATACATACTCCGTACTTTAATACAAAATACTGCAACCTAGTACCTCTGTCGGTATTTCTGTCCCGTCCAAGCGCCCCTGTGTTGAGCCGAGCCTGGAGTGGCATCTACCACCGGTACCGTTGGCCCCTAGTGGGATGAATTGGCTGTCTCACTCAAAAACACTGTTCGACCTATCTAGACGGAGAAGCCTCACGTAAGGTGGCATGTAGTTGCACTTGTGATCCAGTGCAGTAGGCTAGAGAAGGCCGAAAGTGCAACGGGCCCAGATCGGCTGGTGGAATTGGAATCCATCGGCCACTTGTGGCGCCCCAACGGTCATCCCTTCGAGGAAAAGCTGTGATTGTGCCCAGAAATGTGCACACCCCTCGACAATTTTATACGATAATTACGGAGTTGATTGACATCCGGTACCATGGGAAA